GACGGTTATCAGTGTGGAGCGGTTTGCATTATATTTACTCGTATTTCTGCCTGCATTTACTATTTCGAAAAGTCATGGTTTCTCACCGATTGTTTATTCTGTTAATATTATATGATGAACAATCGAATGGCATAAAATAATAACTTTGATGTTAATTATTTTATGGAAATCTAAAATTAACTTATTGACTTGTATGAGTGGCTTAGGAGGATCATTTGCTTGGATTTCGATCTCTGCAAACCTAATATGTGGTTATGTTCAAGATGAACTGGAGGCATTAGAATACGTTAGTCTCTCAAATCTTTATAAGCTTTACAGAAAACTAACGATAAACTCTTTATGAATAACGGGAAATGAGATATCACTTCGCTGAGTATCTGACCGCTTCTGGACAAAAGCGAACCCTCATGGTACTGGTCAGATTGTTGGACGGAAATTCCTGTCTGACTGATAAAGAGTTTAGGACGAAGTATATCAGCTCTGAATCAATGTTCAAAATTAAATTTCGAAATAGTAGGTTTATAGTACTCTTTTATCAAACAGTTCACAACCATTCACGTAAAAGAGCAGTCGTAACAAACGAACCTTTGTTTCTACTGCTTGTCTGTAATGAACGACAAGCACTGACGTCTATGTTCATGACTATTTCGGACACATGAAATGTAATTATTTGTGCTGGTAAAAATTACAACAAAAATATTCTAATAAAGGCTTACAAAGATTTCTGAAAAAGAGTTAAAAGTTCATATCATTTGATGCATAATTCATTTCATTGTAGACTATTTAATTCTGTCTTAGCTAGACTGAGAAGAGTTGGAAAGGTTTATGACTGTTACGATGAAGTCAATGAAATTTCAAGATTTTGATGCAGTACATTTGAACAATTTAGAATGCGTCAAAAGTTTCATGAAATGACTGGAGTTAATTATTTATATAATAGAAACAGATACGAGTGAGTTCTAGTTTACTTGTCAATTCATCAACAGTTATAAGATGTTCCACTTAATTTTAATTATTAAGACTGATCTCGTGCATTCGGTAATTTTCGGTGGATCGTAATCTGAACTGCGGCAATGTTTGTTGTTAATGAACGATTTCAAAATCATGATGGTCAACATTATCGAAATCGAGACGTTTGTAATGGATTTTGTATGGCCTATAAAACTGGAAGTAGAGATAAAGGGGCAAATATGCAATATTATATTGTGCTTATTTCCTCAATGTCTAACAGTGTGCGAAAAGTTTAAAAACTCGATAACAAAGTGATAACTATATGGAATTGTTTGTGAAGAAATCATCCAAAAATTTAGTGATTGTAGTGGAATAATATTTAGACCTGTCAGAAATACTGGTAATTATCTAAACATGTATTGCATGAAACCTAAACATAATTGGTCAGCTACATTCATTCTTATCATACTCATATTATAGATCAGAGGGGGGTTTGTGGAGAATTTAATATTTTCACAGTTGAAATCATGAGTCAATTGAAGCTAGACCACCATCGAAAACCTGAAAGCACTGGACGGCCGTTTCGTCCTATTATGGGACATTAACACCGTTGGATGCCGGCTCAGTGGTCTATCGGTTAGGGCTTCGGCTCGAGACTGGTAGGTCCTGGGTTCGAATCTCGTGGGTGCGTGATCGTGAATGCGCACTGCTGAGGAGTTCCATAATAGGACGAAGCGGCCGTCCAGTACTTCCAGGTTGGTGGTGGTCTAGCTTGAATTGACTCATGATTTCAACTGTGAAAATACTCATATTAGAAAATCGAATGAATTCTAAGATAACACCATCTATGTGGTGTCCAAATGTACTACTGAGTAATTTGACAGGTGGCCCTTATCTATTGTTTGTCTAAACATTAACCAGTTCATGTGACTTCATCCCCTGATAATCATCCATAAAAACTTAAACAGATCAGGAAGTTAACTAGAGTGTAAGACATATGCATTAAAAAGCGTCGTTACGTCAAATATGTTCCATGATGAGGCACTTGCATGAAATCTTCAAAAAAGTGTTAATTGTTTGACATTCAACGTAAATTTTTTCGATGAGTATACAAAAATGAAATGGGGACTGTTGGTTAAATCATTAAAAAGTGAAAAATTAACATATTTTTTAAAATTAAATACTCGTAGACACAGCTTTGAAAGTTATTATTGATTATTATCAGAAGGGGCTTTTGTGGAAATATTAGTAATTTTATGGTTGAATTCATCAGTCAACTGAAGCAGGACCACCATGGTAAATTCGGAAGCACTAGACGGACATTTCTTCTTAGTATATGACTCCTCATGAGTGCTCATCCACGATCCCACCAACAGGATTCAAACCCAAGACCTAACCGGCTCGCACGCGAATCCTCATGGTACTGGTCAGACCACCTTGGAAACGGCCGTCCAGTGCTTCCAGTTTTTCAATTGTGATCTAGCTTTAATTGACCCAAGATCTCATCTATGATATTCTTGATTATTCAATAAGTTTTGATAAACACTGTCTTAATCAAATAAATATTTGAAAATAACTAATGAACACAAATGTAATGACACAATTCATAAATTAACACAGAAATACATAACAGTCTCAATTGTCTATAGTTTACAGTTAAGCCTAAGGTAATACAAGTCTTCTATGAGCATCTAAAGTGTAATATAGTTCCACAGGATCCATAAAAGCTGAATTATTTTGAAATTAACAGCTTACAGTCAGAATATTACATTGTTACAGAATGTAATTACAGTTCATCCTACTTACGTAAACATATTAACATGAAAAAATTACGTTACACACTCTTCTTGATCTTACTCTCTCATCATATTTCTCTTAAGAATTACAGTGTCTTCATAAAACATGAAAATCATACATTAAATGCATTATTTATACATCTTCTTTGCATTGTCTTTTATATATTCCATTATTCCTCTAGTTCTGTTGTTATCTCGATTTCTCTCTGATTTCCTTCCTGTTCTCTTCATTTCAATCTTCTGCTGTTAGGCATTCCGCTTCTGATTGGCGTTACATACTACTTACATATGTCAACATAAGTAGAATGCATCACAACTTAGCATAAGAGAATAATCGGTGAAATAATATATAATAATATATAATGTAATTTTATAAAATATGAAGACGCTTATGATCAGATTTTGGTTATCAAGCATTTAAAATGACAATGCTGCACGTTTGATATTTATTATGTCTGTTATTAAAAACGTTGAATATATATATATATATGCATGCGAAAAACCGCCATACCTAATTCAATGTAGATGTTGTGTTCTTCATGATAAATTAGTTATGCGGATTAAAATGTTTTTTGGAACCATACATTATTTTCCACTTTCCAAATGACCACTGTCGTTTAATGTGGAATGTTGGGTACCATTGTTTACATTGTGGACTGATCTTGTTTAAACAACCAGTGAAAACCATATATATTTATATATTCACAACTCTAAAGATATTGAATTCAGAACTGTCATACGGCATGACCATTGCTTTACTTTCAGACTACTGATATAGGATCACTAAAATCTATCAATTCACGATACCACCATCCTTTCCTGTTGGCGATATTTGTCTCACAACTGATATGGTATTCTAAAAGCTATTTGAATAAATGATAAATTATTCACTCTTTAAATTTCCAACTGTCTTTGAAACTTTAGAAAAATAAACTCGTTGGCTTCTTTGTGACTGTGAAGAAAACAATCAGTAACAAATTGCATTCTTCAACTAGACACCTTTTCATCTTGTCTTTTTGCACTATATTCTCAATGTTTAGTCTTTCGTATTGTTATTATGTGATTATTTCGACTCCTTTACTATTCATCTTGTTAATTACACCTCGTCATGCTAAGATAATTTGCAACTTGGGTTAATGCATATTTGTCTCACTCTCTAAGTTGATCATAATGATGCTTTCTACTTATGTTGGGAGATATGAATAGTATTTAGCAGCAATCAGAAATGGAATGCCTGTTATCAGAGAATAGAATTGAAGAGAACAGGGAGCAAAACAATGAGTGATTTGAATAATGACTTAATTGAAAGAATTATGAAGTATGTGAAGGACAAATAAAGGAAGATGTGCATATAGTGTAGTTAATGTACAGTTTTTGCATTTTATGGAAGCACCTGAGTTTTGGTTTACTACAGTATGAAATGTCAATACACACATTATCAGGATGAGCTTTTAGTCATAAAACATATTATAAAGAGAGGATTATGTTTCAAGCGTACAACTTAGATCATAGTATAAAAAAGATGTATATTTTAGGTTTTTCCTACATATTTTGTTATATAACTGAAATTTTGTCATAATTTGCGGGCTTTTCCCCCATTAATACATAATGTAATGATACCGCCAATCAAAGAACAGTGACTTATCGACCGGACTAATAACGCACAAACCCGTACGAGCAGTCCAGAGTCTTTACTGGTCCCTCTTCCTGCCTAGGTCTGCCTGTTGAGTCCAGAACACAAATCTCAGCCTTCGCGATATGAATCATGTATTTTAAATATGGTAAGTTTATATGAAAGCCAAACAGACCACATCACATTATAAACTAGAAAATGACATTTGTACAAGATCTAGCCAAAAGTGGCTGTGATCGTGGGAGACTGTAATTAATATAGTGAGCACAACTTAAGATTGGTAAAACGTATACAGTAGTCTATAGGTCAAAATAAAGCTTGTAATAAGATGAGTATAGGTATACCTAATCTAGTTACTGAATAGTTATATAATAAGAATGTACGTATAATATTAATTCGTAAATAGTTCAGTAAATAAATATATTCCATCAGTACTGCTATTATTATTATTACTATCAATGTTATTATTATTCGGCATCAATCCATTTACAATTTACCAATAAAAATGAAATTTTAAACCATCGCGTGATGTTTGATTAGATTTTTTAAGGATAACAGAAGAACGAAGAAATTTGAATATGCACTCAAGTTAAAAATATAAAAGAAAAAAACATTGTGGTCTAATACTGAGAACGTTTTAAAGATGAACAATCTAAATTACAAATTGTATCTTATATTAGTTCTTTTCATTTTAGTAAGTTACTATATTGTTTAATGATAGTAACGTGTTGTTCCAAGGTGGCAATACGAATGTTTATTAAAGACCAATTTGTTGGATAATCATACTTGTTACAATTTTATGGTATTGCCTTTATTTTATAGTTTGCATTTATTTAAGGTTCATTTCATTTAATGGTTTAAATCATCAGTCGATCTAAGCTAGACCACCATTAAGAACCTAGAAGCATTGAACGGACGTTTCGAAGTTGTATTGGACTTGTCAGTAATGCTCATCCACGAACCCTCAAGCTCAGGAACTTATCTCTCACACGTGGACGTTTAGCATCTAGACCACTGAGTCGGCATTCGACTGTTTTATTGTCTAACTACAATCAATCCATGATCTTGTACAGCCCTTCATTTACTGTCTATGCTGAATAACTGTCTTCACCTTACATGGATAAAACTCCAGGTTCACAGTGATGGTCTAGCATGTAGGTTGCATTAAGTTAACTATTAAAATCACTACAATCTCCATTCTCATATCATTTAATTCTTTAACAACAATCATAATAATACAAAAATAGACTTTGTTTTTTGGTTATCAATTCGCAGGTCATACGAAAGATATATTCCTCAATTATGTAGATGAAAATATTTCAAATCCAATCATATTAATTCCTGGTCTAGGAGGGACTCAAGCTTATTGTCAGTTAAAAGACTCAAAATCTAATGAATTCCCAATATGGCTTAATTTATTTTATATGATGATTCCGGAAAAGTTACAACATTATTTCGGGTAGTTTAGTTATTGAGTTAAATTATTCATCATTTATTTATAGTTTACGTTTTAATCCGACTACATTGGACAGTGAAAACACTGATACATGTAAAGTTATATTTCCTGGTTGGGGTGAAACACGTTCAATGGAATACTTACATACGAACGGACGTCGTTTTTTCAATTATTTTGGATCCCTTGTGAATTTTTTTGAACAGAATAAATTTTTCATTAAAAATTTTACACTTCGTGGTGCTCCATATGATTTTCGTAAATTACCATGTAAGTGTCGTTTGAAATATGCATACATATATGTAGTTCATCCAACCGGACATTTATTCTAATTTATACTGAATATTGCACATTGTCCTATAAATAATATTAAAACTCGAGGCGTTTACCATCACAATCGAATAGCCCACTTATTAGAACCCTGAGAGATAATCAGATAGCAGATTTGAACAAAATAAAGTTGATAAACAGTTAACTTGTTTGTCATAATGCGTTGAATCAAATATTTCATTTCGCGGTTCATGTCCATTTTTAAAAGTTTTAAAACTGGAAGCGTCATCTCTTGACTATATTACCTTAGGGGATTAAACTATGTAAGTTCATGGATTATAATGAACACATTAAACTAAAAAGCTCGGAACTAGCGAACACATTCTCTATTCAATAATAATAATAACACTTTATTATGATATTTTCTATACAATCACTTTGAAAGTATGCCACTAGTTAACAACGACATTTTGAAAGTAAATCAAAATAGGAAAGTTTAGTTTAATGAATTTCTTAAGAAATGAACAATATGTATACATATATAATTAAGGTGTTTCGCAATTTTTATTCACCATTATTGGTTATATCCATTTGAAACTGTTCCTCAAATGTATCATATTACTTAATGACAAAAATACAAGTTAATAAAAAGGAAGTATGTACGTATTGAATCAGGTGGAGACAACCAATTTATTGATTATTACCAAATTACAGAATATCTTAGTAAAATATAAGAACCATACATTGAATACTTTATTTATGAATCTGTCATCAGTAGTTCTTCACATTCTACACGATTACTTTATACCACAATTCTGTTCCATTTCTTTTTCTTTTTTCTTCGACTCGATCTTCTTAGCCTTCTGCTGCAAAACAGAACACTTCTATTTAGTGTTACATACTACTTATATCAGTAAAAATAAGTAGCTTAAACCACAAGTTCATGTTTTAAATCAATAACACAAATTTTGCAATTTTTCACTAATATAAAATAAACAATATCGTAACACATAAGTTTACTCGGCATTAGGATTCACTGTAACACTATCTATGAACTATTTCCGTTCTATCTGATGTTAATTTTATCATTTTGTATAGACAATATAAACTAACCAAATAGACAATAATGTAACCAACAAGTAGATTTATTAGATAAACGAATAGAATATTCAGTGTTTAAGTATTCAAAAATAATTAAATTAATAGTTCCCACATTTGAAGGGGTTTTGTGGAGATTTCAGTATTTTTCTTCAAAGTTGAAATAATGAGTCGATTGAAGCTAGACCACCATGGAAAACCTGGAAGCACTGGACGGCCGTTTCGTCCTACTATGGGATAACAAACGAACAAAAGATATATCCTACCGAAAATTGTCTTAATTAAAATGTTTAAAGAACAATATACAACAATGGTATGAGTATGATCAAAGTTCAAATGAATGAAAGGATCTAGCAGCTGGTGAATTAGTTTTCTTCTTCAATACATTATAATATTACTGTCTTATAAATGAAGTAGTATCATTTTCGAAATCATTCTACAAAGTAGTTCACTCTTATGCTGGATAATTACTAAATTCTTTGTTTGTTTTTACTGAACTTTGGTTCTCTGTAAAATTTTAAAAATGATAAAAAATAAAACCATCGCTAGATGAAAATACCGATTTTATGGATAAATTAAAATCATTGGTTGAAGAGACTTACAAAAATGCTAATCGACGACCGGTGGTTTTGCTTGGTCATAGTATGGGTTCATTGTATACGCTAAATTTTCTTAATAAACAAACAAAACTATGGAAAAAAAAATATATAAAATCGTATATATCAGTGTCTGCGCCATTTGGTGGAACTGTCAAAGCGTTATTAGGCGTAATCACTGGTAAGTTAGTTATTAATTTAAATTGAATCGTTAATGTCATGAATAAATTTGTCTTATTTTTGCAGACTATAATCACTCATTTTAAGCGGAGATAGATGGCTGGTAGCAACGAAATGTAGGATCGGTGTTTTATCCTATTTAGGATTCTTCAGCTGAATGTTCCCTAATCTTAGGTTTGATATTTACTTTGGGACTTGGACCCATTACCATTCTCTTCATATATGTGGTTCAGGTGCATGCAGCTGACGAGTCTTTAATCGGACGAAACGCACGGCCTTTATTGCATCACTAGCCACCATTCATCTTTGCTTAAAACACTTGTAATTTACTGGTAATATCAATGCCGCCCGCATAGGATGCTCGTATACCAAAAGAGACTGATCAACTACAGTCCAACACACCAATGGGAAGATCCAAACAATCAATATATACAGATCAAAATCACTTCTCTTTTGGATTATTTTTTAACTGTGGCTAACAAAGATTTATAATACATAGTGCTAGAAGGAAAATTTGAAGAACATCTGTAAATGCATGGTACCAATTAAGAAGTTTCTTTTATCTTTTATTACACTTACTGTATGTGTATTAGCATTCACTATGTAACAATATCTTCTCGATAACTAGTGTAGATTTCAATTGCATAAACTTATTGAGTGTATTTTCACGGAGATCTATCATTCTTAATCAGTAAGCTAGTATTTTCATTAAGAACAGATAATTATAATTAAATATTAACCTTAAAAACATTGAATTTTAAATGCTTCTACTGAAGCCAAGTGGAAACTTATAAATTTTTGAAATAAAAACTGGCAATCTTATTTTCTCATGATAATAACAGAAAGGCTAATATCATACATACGAAGAACCAATCTACGGTGGAACTACTGATTAGATTACACAAGTTTTCGAACTGATGCCAGTTCGTGATGAAAGTATCGTTTAAATTATTACTATTATCTCTAAATATCAGAAACTAATTCACTATGTAACACATATGAGCTCATAGTTGACAAAATCTTATTTCAATAAGATCAAAACATTAACAACTCAAGTCGATGCCTGTGCTGTGTTCTACATCGAAGTTAGTATAATTTGAGTGACTTCACTGTCATTTTGGATAATATCACCAACGATAAAAAAACAATTAGTGATCATTAATCAAACCATCCATCTAGGAAAACAGAATAGAGTCAAAATATTAAGTACAAGCTGTAAAAGATAAGTGAACTAATCGTTCGTCAACAATATTGGATTGTGGATCACACTTCATTTTCAATCGAATGCCATAGTAAAAGTGTACAACTGGATTCAAACCAGATGACTTCCTAGCAGTAAAATTTAAACACGACAAAGTTCACAAAAATGAACAAAAACTAACTCCAGGCTTTTCAAGAACCATCAAACTATTACAGAAAAATATAGATTGCCTAAACGTTTTGCACTTTAAATAGGTCAAACAGAAAGATCTCGATTGAAAAGTGGATAAATGAATTCATCAGTAAAAATTTAAATATACATAATGAATACATTTGAATTGATGAGATTGAAAGACAATGAAGGATTAAAAATAATGTAGATTGTGGTAACAACGCTCAGCGGTCAGTATAATTAACCATGGTAATTCTCAAGAAAAAATTTCGTTGTAAGTTGACACTTACAATGCAATCCAGGTACTGTAGAATTTTCATTTCAATCTTGGGAAAATTTATATGGATGAAGGATGTTATTCAATAAAACCGATCCCGACTAATCACAGTATTTAAAATAGTTCTTTTTTAGCAATATTGTTCCTTTTAAATATTTTTTCAAGTAACAAGTGTAAATAATAAAAGTATACTATCCTAGGTGAATCACAATCTCCTGTTTCAAATTCTATACAAAATCAGATCATTCCACCGACCTCACTTATTATTCCATCGTACAAATTTGGTCAATCTATTAATCAAAATACTACTTCACACAATTCTTGTACCATAAATTTAATCTTTACTCATTTCAAATGTCGATACCGATTGAACTATTAATAGTTTAACGAATAAACACTCAAGTCTTGACTTAAAAACATACCCTAAGTAAACAATGAAATTTAAGATGAAATACATTTGGGTTACTATATTTTTTTAATTTATTGTTCCTTGAATTACATAATAACGTTCTTGTAAATATTACATTTATTATAGTGAAATTTCTATACTAAATATGTCTATTACACATGAATGTTTAGATCTTAAATGATGTGTAACTGATCTGTTTGTAAAACATTGAAAGCACATATGATACTGTTTGGCGGATCACAGTTTTCAACAAAAATATGTATTCATAGTTGAAAGCATGAGTCAATAGAAGCCAGACCACCATGGAGAACCTGGAAGCACTGGATGACCACGTCTAATGTCAGATAAGAACTCACTGAAGACAATTGGTGAACGGTCGCTCAAAATCGTGGATTGGTTGAGGTTAGACATTAACACCGTTGGATGCTGGCTCAGTGGTCTATCGGTTAAGGGCTTCGGCTCGGAACTGTTATGTCCTAGGTTCGAATCTCGTGGGTGCGGGATCGTGGATGCGCACTGCTGAGGAGTCCCATAATAAGACGAAACGGCCGTCCAGTACTTCCAGGTTTTAGATGATGGTCTAGCTTCAATTGACTCATGCTTTCAACTATGAAATTACTGAAATCTCCTGAAAAATCCCTTCTGATGAAAATGAATATAACCATAAGTTCAAGATTGACATATACTTTGATTAATTAATAAGTTGCATTAACGTTCTCATTTAAAATCATCTTTGACTATAATAATAATTATGGTCATAATTTTGCTAATTTCTTATATCTAGGTGATAATTTCGGTATATTTTATCGTACTCCATTGAGTTTTCGACCCATTCTACGATCATTCTCTTCTATTATATCTACTATACCTGATCCAAGAATATGGCCTAGTGATCAAGTAATAATTACTACTCCGGATAAAAATTATACAGCACATAATTATCCATCCCTTTTTCAAGATATAGGTTTTCCAGTAGGTAAGTTTATTGAAGGTATATTTTTAAACGTTTTTTTAGATTTTCTCCTACTACTGACACATTCAGTGATTCATCAACTTTACTGTCAAAATTTCAAACATTTTTTAAGGTGCATTTTTTCATAAATTGTCTTGTGTTTCTTTATCCTCATATCGATGATCAGGGTGTTCAGGTGGTACAGTCTAACTAAAAGCATTCAGAATGGGCTATGGAAATAGCTTTATCTATTCATATCAGCAAGATCGATTATTTAGTACTTTTTCCCAAGAAAATAGGGCTTGTAGAACACTCTCAGTTCTAAAATTCGTTATTTCTTATGCAAGAGATGGGATAAACTTTTAAAATTCTTCTCAACAATATGGAGTGCAAGGGGCTATACCATATTCATAGGTCAGAAACCAGTAAATAAACCACCTGCCATCTGAGGATAAAATTTTTGAAGTTGATTTTACGGAAAGTATCAAACTGCATAACAGACTAAGCCCTAACTTGGAATCCTCAGGGGACATGTCGTCAGGATCTAAAGGTAGATATCAAAATTATGAGTAACACTTGGTAACGACTGTAAGAACAGTTCAGGACAGAATTGGTTAAAGATTCCCGGTCAAGAGTCTATGCCTGAATAGCAGAAACAGATTTTAGTAATTAGGTAAGTACTTTTGCAGTCTCGAAATAAAATATTAAAGATTCCCTCATATTTTATTTAACTAGTTAACGCGCTTGAAAATATTTCACTTTGATCCAGTAGCCCACACGTCAGTGGTCCTTATGAATCTAACTAGTTAAAAATTTGCTCTATTGTTAACAGCTTTATTTTCTAAATTATTTTTTAAAATTCCACGTTCATCGGCAACCATAAAAATACATTTTTGACATTTGAAAATAAATTAGGTTCAAATGTGCAATTTCTGTCATCTTTCTAGTTTAAACCAGAATTCAAGGGCCATGATGATGATGATGATGATGATGATGATGATGATGATGATGATGATGATGATGATGATGATGATGATGATGATGATGATGATGATGATGATGATGATGATGATGATGATGATGATGATGATGATGATGATGATGATGATGATGATGATGATGATGATGATGATGATGATGATGATGATGATGATGATGATGATGATGATGATGATGATGATGATGATGATGATGATGATGATGATGATGATGATGATGATGATGATGATGATGATGATGATGATGATGATGATGATGATGATGATGATGATGATGAAACTAAGGAAAACAATCAAAAGAGGGTTTTGTGAAGATTGCAGTAATTTTACATGGTTGAGATCATGAGTCAATTGAAGCTAGATCACCATGAAAAACCTGGAACCACTGGACTGCCGTCTTGTTCTATTGTGGGACTCCTCAGCAGTTCAATCAGTTCTGTTTGGAGATATCAACTCACTGAAGACATTGGTGAATGGTTATTATTATTATTATTATTAGCTTTATTCAACATTATATTTTTGGTACAATATAGAATTCTCAGCACATAGCAGTTCAATAAGTTTCCGTTTCTTACTTCTTCGTCCTTCCTGACGATAAATATTAAGTGATCGCCAGTTAGAACTTAGCAGCCCAGTCAATCGACATCTGTATAATGTACATTCTTCTCGCTGCATATTGCCAGCGACCACGATATCTCTGATTAAGCCTTCTGTAACCTTTACAGCGAAAGGTCTTACACTTTTCAGAAACACACCTGATTAGGATGTGCGATTAACAGGCATAATGATGTAATAAATCAAATGAAATTAGATAACTTGTTGAAATATCTAAATGACAGGAACAGGTAGCCCAGATGTTTAAACAGGCCGCTCAATTTCGTGGATTGGTTGAAGTTAGACATTAACACCTTTGGATGACGGCTCAGTGGTCTATCGGTCCTGTGTTGAAATCTCGCTAGGCGCGATCATGGGTGCGCACTGATGAGGAGTCCCAAAATAGAACGAAACGGCCGTGTAGTGCTTCCATGGTGGTTTAGCTTCAATTGACTCATGATTTGAACTGTATAAAGAAAACAATGTTTTTCGGTTGCCCTGATGCCGATGTTTAAATTATATTTACGAAAGATGAAATCTTTTCTCCACAAATTAAGTATCAATCAAATCATATTAAACCTGTTTAAATCTATATTATCAAACTTTTAATTCCATTCTAATTTTTATTTTTATTTTCTTTTTACATCTATTTATTAGGTTATCAAGTGTATAAAAAAGCTGTTCACGAGTTCATGACATTAGATTATCCTAAAGATATTCCCGAAGTATATTGCGTCTATAGTTCCGGTTTATTAACAATAAAACGACTTATTTATAAACCATCAAGTTTATTTCGCTCAGAATTTCCTAATCAGTCACCAAAGCTAGAATATGAAGATGGTGATGGTACAGTAAACCTTCAAAGTTTACAACATTGCACTAAATGGCCTAATGTATCAGTTATACACTTAATTGTATCTAATCATGTTCCAATTTTAGCTGATGAACGCTTTTTAAAGTTTGTACAAAATCATGTTACTACTAGTACTGTGTCAAATAATTAAACTAAAATCAAACTTATCATTACGAAATACAAATAAATTAAAGAAGGGTATTTGTAATTGTATTTAATTTTAATGTCATTGACTCCCCTTCCAGTCATACGTAGATGGTGAAGCCTAGTAGGCCCTTCTGGAAAAGGGTGCTACATAGAAGCTAGGCACAACTACCGGGGTGGGATAGCTGTTTCTTCAATGCTTACGCTGAACAAAAATACTCCATAAACCTATACAATAGGGACAATCTAATGCAAATAGAGGAAACAACTTTCGTGTTTGTGAGATATTCAGTATTGGATGACCTTCACATTCTATCATATTAAAAAAATGAATATACTTTTCTATAGAGTTTGAAGCGTCAAAAATGATGGTAAAAAATTGAAATTATCCGTCATACAATAATCATACTAAACTTGTATACTTATCACTTATTGCAATGTCAAGTTATATGTAAGAAGTAAAATTAAACCTGTTCTTATTATGAACTCTGAATCTTGACATAAAAACACTTTTCCTAAATCTCTAACTTAATCCTCAATCGGTTACCCTAGGCTCTTAGTATCAACCATAGGTGCCTAACCTTGAATGCTTAGTGATAACCATAAGCCACTAAACCAAACAATCAACAACCTGGGGACTCCAAAAAATTCATTTCTCTCCCCATAAGAGTTAAAGATTTTCGACAGTCATTTCGGGCTAATTTGTATGCAGCTGTTTTTTATTTGCAAATGGGAAGAAACTGCAAAAGACTTCAGCAGATTCGATAATTACGTAATGTTAGACTATATCATTGTCTATTTACTGTAAACTATTCATTTATGAAGCTATCTTGCGATTGGTTAAGCAAGGCTATAATTCGCCCTGGCTATTTTTACCTCATCTCTTTACTACACTACTACCAGAGTGTTCATTAGTTCATTTGTCAACAAACAAACAAAATCTTTTTTTTTGGAAAATGCTGACAACATTTTACAAATGATGCATATTCGTATAGACTTAATTCACGGTAGCCAGTAAGTCATCATCACTGTGGAACCTTGAACAAAAGCCTATCGCAACGCATCAACATATTGAGATATAATCAACAGAATGAATGGTAAATGAATCCAGTCAGCAAAAACATTGATGATGGTAAAAGACCAAACATAAACAATAGTGTTTAAATAGATGCAGTGAATTTCAGTAAAGAATGTAGAAAAACATATTCTAAAATTAGGAATCTGGAAGAAGAAAAAAGACAAATGGATAGTCATTTTCTATCACCGACTATCAATTATATCATTTAGTCTTCTACTAATTATTATATTTCACTTCGTGACCCAAAAATATGGTCAACATCAATCAAAAGGACCAAAATGGAAGGAAAATTTCTTTAACCAATCCTGAAATTCTGCCTGACTGCACACAGCTCCCTTATGACATACTTCTATGTAAGTCACCATTAAATATTGAGGTGATTAGTGGTTAGGTATAAAGAAAATATGTTCGACACGACTAAGATTCATTGCGCCATTTGCCTAGTATACAACATTTAATATTTGGATTATTCTCCTGACTGCTTTATCGTATGCTAGTAATGTTTTGAAATTTATAAACTTCACACAATCTTTGTGCAGCAAGCAAGCAATCTCATTTCTACAGCGATAAAGAATTTCGAATAAGTCGAACTCACTTCTGTGAACTATTTTCACTTTTTTTAAATACAACATCAACCCTTAGGCGATTCTTGGCAGAAAAAAAACAAATTTCACCTAGATGACCTTTTGGAAGACAGATATCTAATTCTCTTCCGTGCAGTTAAGGTTGCTGAAACTATCCTATTGGGTCACAGTGATCACATTGGCAAGTTATCCCAGCTGCTTTCAGGAGACTAGGTTTTCTAGATAAACCATGCAAAAAGAAAGAGTCAAGCAAATTAGGCATCAGTTCGCGGATATCCTGAGAATTGCAAGGTATAAGGCGACCGTTATCCTTTATCTCTTCGGACTTTAAAACTATCAGGTTAAGCTAACTTACCACCTGAAAGTTTCCTATGTGAAGAATTTGTTTTCCTTTTAATGATGAATTCGAATAACTCCAAGAGTCATCGAAATGCTAAATGATTCTGAAACTGTCCAAAAATAAGGTGAACAGGTATAACAGTTTCATTTCATGTTTGATCGCAGGACACTGTCCTGAGTGGTTGTCATTTATTAATTTGCGAACACTAACAATTTTCGGAATGGGGTTGTGGAGATTGCTGAATCTCATAAAAAACATAAACCACTCAAAGTTAGACCATCATTAAAAGTTTAGTAGAAATGAATGTCCGTTTCGTCTCAATGTGGGACTCCTCAACGATTTCAAACTCCAGAAGCAAACTCGGGACCTATGCTAACCCCTAAATCACAAAGCCAGCAACCCAAAGTGTTAATGTCTCTCCTTACTCAGTCCACGAAACTCCGCGACCAACTTCTACTGTCTTCCACGGACAACAGTCTCACGCTCGCCCAGATTATGCTCTGCTTTTCACAGATTCTTACCAATACACCAAGCATTACTTCTCAAAGCTATTCATCGGTGAGCGCATGATAACTTTCAATGTGTGGTTGGGGAGATTGTTGAATAATAACATTAACACTGTTGGGTTTCGATTCAGTGATCCAGAGTAAAGCGTTCCTGAGAGAGACGGGAAATCATGAGATTGATTCTCTAGCGTGGGACCGTGACTACATCCTTCTAAGAAGTGTCCCTTTACCACGAGACGCCTTTTTAGCGCATTAAAGATTTTTTACGGCTGTCTAACTTTGATCGGTTTATGATTTCAACAAAAATAAAACAATCTTATCAACCATATAAAGGTTGGAAGTTGTCTAGAATCGACATATTAAATAACCAGTCCGCTGGTATCATTATTCCTTCAACGTCCTACTAGCCATGTACGAAATAACTATGATAACTGTGATCATATAAAGAATGCTGATGGGCAGCTTGTGCTCCCCAACGAGGGGTAACAGTCGTAAGTAAATTAGCGAGTTGACAGTTTCTGATATTATCAATTGTATCTAGACTAAAGACAACATCAACTGTTCCACAATTTACTGCAAAGATTTGGCTGAGAAACGTCTATGATTGTAAACACAACATCAACACCTTATTAGTAGGCTAAAAATATACACATCCGAGATTGAATAGTGATAAATAGTTATATCTACCTTTATTTGATATATTTTAATATTGATTCACATACTACTGTTAAATTTAATAGTAGGTAGCTAACATTATTTTGATTTCGTCTTGTTAATTTCAGCGTATAGAATGTATTTTAAGGAATCTGTATTACTTGAGATGTTACATCGCTTTCTAAACAGTTATCAACTCTGCTGAAGTCATATATTGTGATATATTAATTTAAATTTACTGCAGAGATATTAAGCTTTAAGAACTATTATATCATGTATATGAGACAGCCCAATCCATAATACTTAACACATATAACTCATTTTTAAGATGTGTTTAATTAAGCTCTAACTGAATCATTTACTATTCATCTTGCTAGTAAATTCAAAAATAAAGCACTGAATGAATAATAGTATTCACTAAGCGTTGAGCTATGTTATTCATTGGCCAAATCATAATATATAAGCTACTTAATAGAAGGGGGTTTCTTGGAGATTTTTGTAACTTTATATTTTGTAAATTTATATGAGATCATGAGTCAATGGAAGCTAGAACCCCATGGAAGACCTAGAAGCACTGGATTGGCGCGAGACTGGTAGGTCCTGGGTTCTAATCTCACGAAGCGGGATCGTGGATGTGCACTGCTGAGAAGTCCCAAAATAGAACGAAACGGCCGTCCAGTGCTTCCAGGTTTTCCATGATGGTTTAGCTTAAATTGATTCATGATCTCATCTATAAAGCTACTCAATAGTTGAATGATAGTATGCTCACTAGAAAAACATGAAAGTTTTATATTAATCCCAGTGTGTAATTGAGAATTCATACAAAGAAATGGTCTTACAACTCCATAAAAATGATTATTACAGTGTTTCTTCTTAATTATAATCATCAATTAAATTCAATAATAAATTCACTTCACTTCGATTGAAGAATTCCTTAAATTTTAATAAACATTCATGTGAAATTTATTCTCTACTTATAACTTATACATTCAGTAATATAAAGATTATCAGTCATTTACCAAGAGTTTTATCTTTTTAATGTTCCATTTAAGTTACTTCATTTGGAAACAAACAAAAAAACAAATGAACATATTTTACAAACACTTCAATAATGATTCGACTAACCACTTCTTAAAAAAAGAAAACATTATTGCATTGTAAATAACACTATTCTCTAGAGTCTATTACTGAAAAACATACAGTTTTCTATTGTGTAAAGTTTATTCACAAAATTTATTAAACAATGCAACCATTCTTTTCGAAATTCTTATTTAAAGTAGGTAATCGAATTAAGTCATTTTTAGTAATAATCAGTTTAGAAGGAGGTTTTGTGGAGATTTTAGTTATTTTCTATAGTTGAAATCATGAGTCAATTGAAGCTAGACCACCATGGAAAACCTGGAAGCACTGGACTGCCGTCTTGTCCTATTGTGGGACTCCTCAGAAGTGCGCATCCACGATCCCGGCTTGCATCAAGAAGTATTTTCTGTAGTTCTAGTGAGAAGCAGTGATCAGTGGAGTTCAACCAGGTCTGTCGTGAGATAGTAACTTACTGAAGACAATGGTGGATGTGTCGTTCAATTTCGTGCATTGGTTGAAGTTAGACATTAACACCGTTGGATGCCGGCTCGGTGGTGTAGAGGTTAAGCGCTACCGCAGGAGACTGATAAGTCCTGGGTTTGAATCTCGTGGGGTGGGATCATGAATTCGCACTGTTGAGGAGTCAACTAATAGGACGAAATGGCCGTCCAGTGCTTCCAGGTTTTTCATGGTGGTCCAGCTTCAAATGACTCATGATTTCAACTATATAAAATAATCAGTTAGTTTAGTAATCCTCATTGTTAATTTACCAATAATTGTAATGACAAAAATAATGCGTTTGTTAGGCTTCAGAATTATATCTCAGAATTATTGTTGAGATATCTAACCTAATTGAATAACTAAATTTATATAAGGAGAGTCATTAGCTGGTATATAGTTATATATACAGTACTTCAGCTAGATTTAGTGTTATTTAATTTACCCCTAATAGATTCATGACTGTGTACCACTGATGAGCAGTTTTCTGCTTCACTCTTCATAATATTTCTTTGAAATAGTGTCTGCGATGAAGTCAGCTCCAGTGGAGTTTATTGCTCGACTCAAATAAATGATGATGAACTTTTATTTTCCATTTGATTATTTCACAAAAATGTATACTTTGTATATGAATCCCTTAGAGCAATTATGAATTATACTATATGAGCACTTCATGCTTACTCAGAACACATATTTCATTATATTTTTGAATATGTGGTTAAGTATACCTCATCAAGCAAAGTATAGACATTACAACCTAGTGTTATATTATCAGTTCCTAATGATTTAGATAACTAGTGTGGCACATAAAACAAAATGATTCCATTCAGTTAGTTTTGGACACCAAGACAACAAAAAAGAAGATTCGGAAAATGCTGTCTCATGGAAATCAATTTCCAGTTTACAATAAAAACGGAGTCACAGAAAATGTCTCTATATTCTTATACTCTATAAAACTAAATACAAGCATTTGGTCAGTCACTTTATTATTTACATCATAGAAACCGGAAAATATAAGTATCAGTTCACCTTTCTACACCATATCAGCAAGACAAATGGAATCGTTTTAACAAAACTCAGAGCAGTACAAGTAATAACAGTACTATTGGTACTAGAGAAGATTAGATATAGACAGCATGATCACAAAAGAAAAGACCGATTAGTGAAATCACTAAGGATAGGTTTGAATAGTAGGAACTGAGGGGAGGTACAAAGTGAATGCAACCGCACCATTGATTCTCAGTCATTCCATCCCACTCCACCCATTGGTAACGATAACCACGAGGACCACAGACACGTGATCCGGATCTACCAACATGGCACAATCCGAAAGTTATCGACCGATGCCATACATTGTCATGGCCGTCCCTAGATTTCTCATAATCAACTCCCACACCAAGCGACATATCCCGTCGAAGTTGAAAGTGGTTAGTTACACGTAATACATGTCTCAACCACCCTAGTTGATGAATATTCACATTACTGGTGAAAATGTAATGGTCAGTTCATTTCTGTATTGGTTGTTTGAATCTTCCCACTGATGTTTAGGACTGCAACTGGTCAGTCTCTAATTGGCATATGTGCATATTATGCGAGATGCCTCGATATTGCTGTCAGTCACAAACATCATAAACAGAAATGGATAGTGGCTGCCAGTGGAATCCAGGATTCGCGTTTCGTCCTATTTGGGACTCGCCAGCTGGATGTACCTGCATCCCAGAGTTGTTGTTCAATCCGGGACAGTTGTTTATTTAATACAATTTACTTTAGTGACAGCAAAATACTGTTTCTATTTTTAACTGTTAGTTAATCTGGATAGAATCATGAAAACAACGGCAACAACCAATATTGAACTGACTGTTTATTCATCTAGTTAGTTTTAGAACAACCAACCTTGTTGATAGGCTGAAATTATAAGGTCGAACAAAATGAAATAATAATAATACCATTGTAAGCTGATTGGCAGATAGACAAAATGATATGCGTATATAAGATACAAATATTTGTATGATTGTTTTCACAAATTCCATATCACCTTTAGAAATTCACCATCATGAAACAGGTTTAAATATTACCATCGATACACAAAACATGTGTGGTAATAATTGTAAAATACTCCATTCAATACTTCTTGTTCAGTATGTACTTCTGTGTAGTATCACTCCAGTGTACACTGTTCCGATGCTTACATCGATTAATAACACTCACACTGGTATAAAATATCCAATAATTTTGATTCCCGGTATGGGTGGTAGTCAAGCTTATTGCAAACCTAAGGATGTGGGCAATTCTTTTACTCCATTTAATCTCTGGATCAACTTTCTTCACATATTATTACCCGAAAAAGCATTCGATTACTTCAGGTAAAAAACAAATTCATATTTATAAATCTGCTCCAAGATTACAACATGATCCGCACACCTATGAGTCGCGTGATTCAAATGAATGTGAAGTAACATTTCCCGGGTGGGGTGATACATGGTCTGTGGAATATCTATCACAACATATATCTTTTGAGTACTTCGGTTCACTTGTATCAGAACTGATGAAAGACAAATTTTATGTGAAAAACTTCACGATGCGTGGAGCTCCATATGACTTTAGAAAGTCACCAGGTAAGTGAGTACATGTAAGGGTGTTATTTTTCAATTTTAGCAAAAGATTATGAAATATAATCTTGAATGGATCGTGAGTGTCTGTCAAGCAGTAACATGAAAAACACATCAGGTTCAAAATATGATTAACTGAATTCCGCTGACAGCAAACATTAGAAGTTTTCATTTGTCATGAGCATTAAGTGATAATTGCACAAATAAGAAACGTTCTAAAGCATGATTAAATAACTTTGCATTTCATCAAAATGCTTGTATTATCAAGATTATTGCCATTCCATACTGAAATTACTGTCCACCGAATAACTTTCTAGATACGTAGCAAATCAGATCACAACTACATTTTTATTGTTTCATAAAAAATCTGTACTCCAACTGTAATTTCATGATAAATATCTTTGATACTGCTTTATTAACTAGAATATTCTACAGAGATAAACCAAATTAGTAATTAGCGTAGATGAATGATGTTGAATGTGGAAATAAACGAAATGTGGAAATAATCATCAACTGCCAAAACACTTTATTATTTGATGCTTCAGTGAAAGATCGTTCAAAATAAAATGATCTTCCATTTACATTATACAGTTTGTTTCCAATTTTGTGGAGGAAGTATGTTTTAAATTTACATTTCATGAGGACTGCTCTCGGATAAAAAATCTCACATCACCTGCTAAATCGAGAATCCCATATATGAATCATTTTCAAGATTTTCTTCGTCTCATTAATTTAAAATTTGGTCATGAAAAATCCAATCTACTAAGAACTAATTTTATGCTCATGTGACACCTTACTAGAGTAAACCCGAATATCTTAGAATATAAACTGAGCGTGATGAAGTCGATAAGTCGCATTATCTATGTGGTGTCTTCACCTAGAATAATATGTCGATTGATGTATCTCCAACCCTGAAAATTCATTGAATTCGTTGCGAAACAATTCAATATGAAGCTCGAAATTTACATATGATTTTATGGAAATTTCGTATGAATAGAAAGTCATTTTTGTCACTAAGATCTAATGTGTGTAAAGAGGATGAACACCTGCCCGCTACTCTTCATCTTCGATTGGTTTTACAAATCATATTAGTAATCAATCTAGTAAATGTACTACTAAATGTACTTGATTAGGAGTTTATTACGAATTCTAAATATAATACGTCCACTTGTGTTCATCTAGTTTAGTTCGGCTTAAATTGTACTATTTTTGGAATTTTTAGTTAGCACATTAATTCGAATACTTTTAATTATCATATTGGTGTTGCGATGGAGCCTGTTATTGTACAATTTGATATACATTCAAATTCTGAAGCTTTGAAATCTCGAATATGAATAAAAAAGATGGTAAAGATGATAAAATTGTTGTTCATTTCCTTACCTTGGTCGGAAGGGATGCCTACAGCCTACTAAAGTATTTACCATTTCCAGATAAACCTATTTCACACTGATTAAGGGCCATCTATCCTAGGTCTAGAGAATTTAACAATTTTTCAGGGATAACCTTCCAAATTGACCACTAAAGACTGTTCTGATGAAATGTTTGATAACTTGTTGACTACAGAATCGAAGTGTGAAGATTTGCATACGACCCTAAGACATTCCTTTTCTGATGCTCAAGCGCTAAAAAACGAAAATTATTTGTATTTCCGCTATGAAATTCAAAGACCGGGAGAAAGAAGTAGATCAAGTCTTTTAGTATAGAATTGCCGAACCGTACGCAAAAGAAACAATAATGAAATTTCTTAAACAAAAAACGCTAGTCAAAATATGGAATGTTTACGGTCCGCCAATGTTAAATGCTGTCGAGGTCTACTAAGAAAAGCTGATAAATCTATGGTTTATATGCAAGCCAGTCACAACCACATACGTTACAAGCACTCAGGTGAGTCCGTTCTAATTTCCGCTGTTAATTCCAATACTAATGAGTACATTCTAGATTATACCCAATGAACAGCTCGACAGACATATGATGGACCTAAGGAGATGTAAAACGAACTACAGAAATCTGGATTTCCATTTAAGCTATGGCGTTTGTGGTATTTACACTAACTGATGATTCTTTTGTACTTGATTGGGAGCTTATTACAAATTCTAAATATAATTCGTCCGGTTATGTTCATCTAGTTTAGTCTGCCTTAAATTATGCTATCTCAGGAACTTTTACTTAATAAATCAATTTGAATACTTTTAATTATCACATTAGCATTCAAATTTGATGTTTATTGATATATATATATATATATATATATATATATATATATATCCAAGCATCAATACACTTGTTAGTTTCCTCTTATTTGTGTCATCTTCCTCTTTCAGATGATAACAAACAGTTTGTAGAGAAATTCAAACATTTAGTAGAAGAAACTTATAAAAATGGATTGGATCGACCAGTTGTTCTATTAGGTCATAGTTTGGGTAGTCTCTACACACTGTACTTTCTCAAAAATCAAACTAAACATTGGAAACAAAAGTATATCAAATCATTCCTATCTGTATCAGCACCACTTGGTGGAACAGTTCAAGCACTTATGTCCTTAACTAGTGGTAAATTCAAAGCATCTGATTCATATGTATTCTAATTTGATGTTCACATTTATAGCAAGTTTATTATATATGTATTGTAAGATTTGAAGGACAATACGTAGAGATAACAAAATTCTTGAGAAATTTCATTGGTATCTTTGCTATTCACAAATTTAATTAGTTTATGTTAAGAGCTCAATCAATTTCTTTGATTTTGTTTCCAAGCGCAAATATTTTCTGTTTTAATTGCAGGTGAGAATTTAGGCGTCTTTCATCGAAGTTCATCAGTATATCGAGATGTGTATCGTACAATGACATCAGTTATTGCTGTACTACCAAATCCTAAACTATGGTCTAAAGATGAAATTTTAATTGTTACACCGTTTAAAAATTACACAGTTCATGATTATCCACAGTACTTCAGTGATTCCAACTATCTTACAGGTATAAATATGCATACATATATACCTGTTATATTCTAATGCTATAAATTTATTATTTGTTGCCTTATTGCTTCTATTTTAACAATGAATATTAAGAGACAGTTCGAGTAGTTTTAACGCTTTCAGTTTCATGTTTATGATGATACATACGAGTCAATGAACAGGTCTAAATTCGGATCTAATACAGGATTCTCTTGATAATCACTGAAAAATACCAACTTACATAATTAGTTTACCAAAACAGATCTCCATCTTTTAATAAACGATCAGTGTTACTATGTACCAGTTTTATCTGCATTCCTTTACGGTTGTGAAATATGGGGTTTACAAATATCTGGAAGAACTGTGTAAGCTTCAAGTACAAGTTTCTTCAAAGTATCACCTTAGTTAGATGAAACCATTGAGTGAGTAGTGTTGGGGTTAGACGTAGGGGTAGTGACTCTTTGAAGTCCTATGTGAGAACAAGATACAACCCATAAACATAATACTCTTGCAGTTAACTCAAATTACGTACCGTTTTCAAAGTTATGGTAGCTTCATCTGATTCCATGATTTAGATATTCCAACAATTGCGTTGTTTTATGTTTCAATTCAAAGAATATATACGCAGTCAGGAATACATTTACAGTTAACCAATAAATTATGGAGTCCAGGCTATCATAAATATGCTAAATACATTGGAAATTCAAATTTACTAGGTTGTGGATCATTACTGACTTAGATTATTTGTGTACTGCCTATTCATACCTAGACAATCCCAACCCCTAATCTTATTCCCAAAAAGCATAGAGGTATGGGAAAACGTTATGGGTGTACAGTTCAATGTATCAGCCCTGTGATTATTTGACTAGAACATGTTCCCAAGTCTGTTCACACGGGCAAAAGTCATAACCTATGGTTGCATGATATTGATCGCAATAACAGTAGTAATCAATGTGTATTTCTATTAATTATGGGTTCGATGTCATTTCATATTATCCAATCTTCCATCTAGTATGTTTCTTTTTGAATTATTTTCCCCTGTAAGTTTAGCATGTCATAACATTTGACAATACAAATCACGCTCTTCGTTTCATTATATTATTTTCCTTCCGTTGTGCTTATCTCAGAAATGTACCATGTACCACTGTAACCATTTACAGCTACTGTGATGTATGCTACTTATGTAGATAAAAGTAGTTTATAAAACCAGTCAGAAGTGGAATACCTGACAGTGGAAGGTTGAGAAAATAGAAGCGAAGAGAACAGGAACAGAGAGTATTGTTGTGTCAATGAAGGAACGATGAATTTCAAGACAATTGATGAAAGATTTGCAAAGAAGGATTTCCACATTTTACCAAAGAACTCTAATTTTGTTTTAAGTACAGATGGTTGTCCTCACATGTGTTCTCCTTCAATGCACTACCGTTAAGAGTCAATTATCCTTAGTTAGTAATGAATGATGATAAAGCTGCAAAGTGACGAGAGAAGTAATTAGAAACTTGAGCTAGGAAAAAAGTGAATAACAATGTGCCGATTTAGAGCCCCACAAACTAAGATTAAGTTTAAAACCATGAAATTTATGTATTTGCTGATTTGACCTTAAAATCTGCTCCCAGAAAAGTTTCCTACAGTGACATAATGTTTATTATACGATGTGATTTAACCTTCGTGGTCGTGAACAAAGCATAGTCATCCTCACTTGATTTTTACTTGAATATATTTCAATTGATGAGTTAAAAACTAATGAACAAGAAATCATTATTTAATTGAATGTTATTGTAAATCAGTTAATATTATTTGTTTAAATTATCGCTAAATACTGAAAATGAACGTCATTAAAAATAATCTTAATCTTGTACATTCTAGGTTATAAACTATTCACACGTTACCTATCTGCATTCGACCCACTCGAAGCTCCCGAATATGTACCTGAAGTCTACTGTATCTATGGTTCTGGACTATTAACAGTGGAACAAATAATTTACAAATCACCTAGTTTCTTCGTCTCAGCATTTCCAAATCAATCACCCAGAATTATATATGGCAATGGTGATGGTACAGTGAATTTACGTAGTTCAAAAGTTTGTACAAAATGGCCCACAGCTAAAGTAGTTGAATTCATTACATCTGAACACAGACCTATTTTAAGTGAAAAGCGATTTATTGATTTTGTGAAACAAAATATGAATAATTAACACCTCAATAGTATTATGACTATCATTATTATTTCTACCGTTTATGTCCTACATGGTCAACTATTTTCATTGTTTTCTTATCTTAAACAAGCACAAACAAGAGTTGTGAGTACATGTAGTGAAGTGGAAAATAATCAAGGTGTTTCTTATTTTCGTTTCCGTTTACAACTTCAACTAATATCAATAATACTATTATTACTGAACTGGAGGAAAACTATTTTAAAGTGTATAATATGAGTAAAGTGTACTTGTGAAATTATAATCTTGAATCATTACCAATTGTCCACTAATAACAACTTTAATCATACTAAATTCACTTAATAATACAATCATATCAACCAAGTGTAATTAATGTCTGTCAATTAAAAAGAAGATAAAGTAGCTACAATTATCCAAGTTATTTTGTGAATAAAAAAAGACTGGTCGATTCACAATTATCCAAGATAATCATTGGTTAACAGGTCTAGTGATATAAATGATTACTTGATGTATTCACACATACTAACTCTATACAGTTCTTGATGATATTCAGATTTATTTCCACATATAGTACTACATTTATAGTTAAAGTAATAATTCACAATGACAAAAGGACAGAAATACTATCGTTATTTATTTCATTTTTAATCATCTGAAGTACTTGGAATGTGAAAAATTGTTCCAAGTTAGAGTCCTCGCAATTATCATACTTGATGATTGGCGATGTTGGTTGACACGACTAGGAATTAGTCACGATAATACAAATCTATGTCATTCCTTAGACTGAAGTTACGGGATTAATCCTACAATTTTTTATTTTTTGAATTCATTCAATCTTCTTGAAATATATAGTTTATGTCTAATATTTACTACTACCACTGAGGCTGTTACTGTTTCTACTATAGCATTTGTCTTGACAATCTTATCTGGCTGTGTTGATGTGGTGTAGCAGTTTAATCAATATGCATATGAACCAGGTTCTACATTTCATGGGACTGATTATCGATTTTCACGCAGTATTTGTGTATCAATCATAAACATAGCTTTGAACTGTCATATATTTGTAAATTTTAAATTTGATTCTGATTTGAAACAGAAAGGTGGGATTCCTATTATTATTCGCACATTAAATACAACAGTAATCATGCTACTTAAGTAACGCTAAGTTATATTTGGCTACCAGTTAGAAAGATGGTAATAAGGGAAGACAATTCAACGACAAACACACCAAAGAAGAGAAACATTTTTTTGAAAACTGACATTCATTATTATACATAACTAACCCAAACTTATTTTTTATAATATAACTTAACTGAATCATAATAATAAGTAAACCAAACTTTAACATCAAGTTGTTTGCTACGATCAACACCATAATACCAAAATGTTTGCTGGAACAACAATCAAAGTGATCTGAAGTGCTGTTAGGAGTATGTGTGTGGTTATCACTTGCTGTTTGGCTACATCGTAGAAGACTTCTTGAGGGAACTTAAAAAAGAAATTATACCAATCTTAGCGACCCGGCAGAGACACCTGATTAACTCCAGTAATACACTGACTTTATAGTAGAAGTTAGTGATACATTAACCATGTATTTTCAACGTCCTACAACCTGCGATGCAAATCTGTGGGTTAAAAAGAGGTGTTAGTTTCAGTGCATCATAATATGCGAACCCGACAGTCATCTCCAAGCAGCAGGAACAACCGCGACTAATAAAGCAATCAACATAAAATCACCTGGAAAGAAATGGTACAATATAAAGTTCTAAGAGAAACAACTAGAAGGCAAGGAAATGAATCTAAGTATGTTTAACTTTACAATGATTATTCAATTCAACTGTAAACTTAATAGAAATTACGACTTCATCTAATTTCATTAAAAAAAAATAAAATATATTTATATATTTTGACAAAAATAAATCAACTACTAACAACTCATCATTAGTGATGGTAATAATAATAAATACAACTATAACAAACAAAAGCGAAATAATCTGCATTACAATACTACAACTTTACTCAATAGTGAATTAATTATATGTAAACTCCAGAAAAGAGCATCGTTTTCTCTCGAACAAAATGACAAGATTCCATCAATAAAGGGACTGTACAATTATATATATATATATAGGAAATCAGCTGATCATAAAGGGAAGACAGAGGAAGGAGAGTTGGTCAAAAAGTTAACATACAGCAATATTCTCTGTTATAAGTATAAATATACAGCCACCGGATGATACATGATTGATAAGTACGAACAATAAGTAGAGTGTTGATTAATGGCAATCCATAATGTGTTGCATAACATCACTTCGTAATTTACTGTGAAATTCACACATTGGACAAACAACATCCTCATCCTCATCATTACCGACATTATCATGTTCAACAGTATTAAGTCCTTTATTAAGCTCATTTCGGTTATCATGAGTGTTGTCGTTGTCGTTATTATCATCAATGATGGTGATTTGATCAATCATCTGATGATTATTTGAACTATTAGTCTCCATGGTAACATCTGTTTCAGTATTATCATCATCATTATTTATAGCGATGGTACTGAGTGACTTTTCAAATATAAGCTGTTCACCAGTAATCGAATTAACAGATCTATTTAAACTCAATCTAGATTCATTAGAATGACTTGACACTGTTAATGTTGATGAATTGATAACGTCACAAACACTATCACCACTGACACCACCATCATGAGCATTAATGAATTTCGCTGAAGATGAAGAGGGTGAACTTGTGGTAGTGGTCAATCGAATAGGTTGATTACTTAACGCAGAAGTAATAATTGCAGTAGTAGTAGTCGTTATTGATGTTGATATTGTCGTGAGAAAGACAGAAGTGTTAGATACAACAGGTTGTTTTGAATTATTATTATTATTTGAATTCTCTTTAAGCATTTCATTAGCATGAGCTGTTTTCTTATGTGTATTTAGATGGTCAACAGTTAAACAAAATACTGGACATAAATCGCACCCATGAAACTATATAAAATAATATATTTCAATAAAGATAAATTAACAATTAAAATATATGGAGGTAGATGCATTACGAGCATATGTTTTGCACAGATTTATACAATCAAGTTATTTTTTCTACTTATGTAACTAAAAATATTAATTGTAAATAACGACTTTCGAAAAATTGGTGAACAGAACCTATGCGATCGCCTAGTTAAAACTATTCTGTCTGGAATTAAACAAAATACATCATCTAACACAACAACGTCTCATAAATTATCACAGAGAGATGAAATTACTATAGGAGGTAAACAGATGTAATGAATAAAATCTGATCTAACAAATTATGGAAGAAACTACATTATTAAATACAAACAATGTTCAAATGTTTACATATTCACATATCATGGTGAAATACCGTGCTCAGATATGTTTATCTATTCAAAGACTGAGAGTTTCAAATGATGGTGGCTAATTTTACAGGTAAAATTATAGTATACGAACAAGCTTATGAGAACCGAGAAATGACTTTTACGTTCTATAAGCAGAGGTGATAGTGGCTCGCAGTGGTTCTCTCTCTGTGAATCATCTCTGCTTATAATGCTAGTGACTGAAGGCAATATCGAGGCAATCCGTACAGGACGCACATATGCTAATAAGAGACTGATCAATTGCAGTACTAAACATCAATGTGAGGATTCAGACAACCAATACAGAAATGAGTTAACTTTCGAGTATTCACATGAAGATTTGAGAATGAATAACCTCTATCTTATATCACATAAAATGAGCAGTACTAATACCTTTGTGTAATTGTTCTCAAAACGTTCAAAGTTAGAACCAAAAGTTACTTTAGTCATCATAAAGTAAAACTATAGCGTTAAAAGTTAAAAAATGTTTAAGTCTTTCTATGTGGATAGTAAATCACACGTAAATTAACCCCAAACCCTTAATGCTGATCCTAAACACCAAGCACGAACGATGTAGGAACTCCCAAAAGCCTTTCTGGTCCTTAAAAAGGCTTTTTAGAACGAGGATATTTCATAGCAATATAGAAATATTTATCACTGTTTTTCGATTTAGACATATAGATTCATAGTAGACTTTAATAAGTTTATTAATTAGATAAAATCTTTATTATTTTTTATAATAATCATTCATTAACAAGCACTTTTTCAAATTGGTTATCAACGACGTACATTTTACCACAGATATTTCAATAACCGCTAAGGTTCCTCCCTATACTATAAATCGTATCATTTTAGACAGAAACGTGATAGCAACAAAGTGCTCAATTATGCAAGATTTTCTAGATTATTGTACTGAAATCGCAATAACGAAATAGGATGACATTTTTCTGGTCTCTAAAAATCTCCAATCTAGACTAATCTTTGACATCAAAGTGGGTTCGATGAAAAGAATACAAATTAGAGAACAAAAGAGAATTAGGACCGATAAAATTCTATGATAACTAAGGGTATGACTCAGTTACAGTTATAAAAATGTAGAGATAAAATCAATTATTCGAACCCAAAATGAAACCAGTTCAAAATGTTTAACAATAAACTCTTTATCAGATGAATTTACAGTCGAGCTTTCCCATTGACTATAGGTTTAGTGATAACAAATGAACACCGCATTGAAGTGTATAACTAGTGCTCGATTGTATGAGGTGGATAGATAACCTAAAAATAACAGATATGCTTCGAAAAAGTAGCAGTCTGTAGGTGACAGCACAATTTCTTTGTAAGTTATATAAACAGTGGGAAGTAACAAAATGTCTTAAAAAAACTAACCTGGGATAAGTGACCAATAGCACAGCGTTGGTTACCCCGTTTTAAAGGACTGGTAATAATTTTTGCTGCAGTTATTTTACTTAAGGATGATGATGGTGATGATAATGTCGTTGATGTTGCTGTTACTGAAGTAGAAAAGTTAGTTGTGCCAACTGATTGCGTTTTAACAATTCGATAAAGTTTATTTGTTGCTGGAATTTGGTTTGGTTCCGATTCCTTGTTATGAATACTGCAACAGTGTTTCCATAATGAAATTGCTCGCTCACATGCATATGGACATACAGGACACCAGTACTGATGACTAGCCTAAAATACCAATTTATGAAATACATTTCTATATTACAGCATTTATCATATAGTTATACTAAAATATACTGAGAACTCATTTCGAAAAGATATAATCATGAATATTGAGAGGGGTGGGATTTCTTATTCGTGACACGCGGCTACAACTGTAAGCATACTAAATGACGATAATATTTTCAAACGACAGCTTAGATTCAGTATTATGGGTAGTAATTTCATCTAAGGACTATTAACACTACTAAACATATGCTTTTTTTATCCAATATAAAATAAATCACAGACTAACATGGCATAATATTAATTTTGTAAGGTTTCTATCAATTGGGCAGGAAATGTTAATTGTCATTAACTAAGATTGAGTTTTTTTTTAGTTCATCACAAATTTAATAACCTTGACCAAACTATTGGATAAATACAGGCATGTATACGAAATATGAATGGTCAGGGAATATTTCCAACTTATTTGTGTTTTCAAGTGTTTATTTATGATGTGTGACCACATGAATTTAAGTGAGATTAAACCAGTATCATATTCTCATTGTCACCTATATGTGTACATATACATTAAAATTTAAATTGAATTATTCACCAGGTACATGGGTATGAGCCACACTCTAAATGTGAGGGCTAATTATACCATCCGGTTGAGCAAACAGAAGTAGATCGAGAGGGGTTTGAACTAGGGATTTAGTGGTCTAAAATCAAACATCTCTACCACTGAGTGACCGCTTTAATGGAAAGATAAGGTGAATTTATTTTAGTACTAGATTCTTTGAATGCATTACAAGGATCTGGAAATTCAGTAGAATGATCAGGTCCAGCCGAGAATACAATCAGAGCAAATGTGTAAACAATGGCTATACAACTGTGGACAATAACAAATCAAACCCTGGGTCAATAGGACAAACTGTTAGTAAACTG